TGGTCCTCAGCCAGCGCTGGGGGTAACGGTCACCTGCAAGCAGAGAGCGGGATAAGATGGGGCGAGTGGCCGCGGAGACAGCGTACCCCAGCCCGGTGCCCGGGCCCCAAGGGCACGAGGGGGGAGACCCCCCTGATATCCCCAACCCAAGGGAACCCACTCCTCTCCACCCCTTGCGTTAGCCCAGCTCCAGCAAGATGCCCTGGTGCTTCCTACAACCGGGGAACCAGCCCAAACCCGCACGGAAGCCTTTTCCCGAGGGCTGAAATTCCCAGGGAAAGCTCTGCTTTCCCTGGTCGCTCAAACCAGCAGTTGATGGGATCATCTACTGCATGGGGATGGCGCTTTGGGGTCTGCCGTCGGCCACCCCAGCAGCAGGCACAAGATACGGGACAAAGCATCCCTGGGACATGGCACGGAGCGGAGCCGTTGCTCTTTGCACCACATCCCTCGGGTCCTCCACTCGCGGTGTGACCCACCTGCCCCGAAGTGTCCCTGAGGGTCCCTCACCTCCTGTGCCCGCGGGAGAGGTAGTCCCGGTTCAGAGAGCAGAGCTGCTGCTCCAGACGGAAGATACGAAATGCCAGGTACGAGGAGGACACGACCAGGAGGCAGATGCTGGGAGCAGAGGAACAAGCACAAGAGCTCAGCAGCCTGCGATAGACGTTCCTGGCGTAGCCCCCCATCCTCCCCACGCCGCAGCCGCCCTCGGCACACTTACAGCACGATGAAGATCTTCAGGAGCTGGTAGTCGGAAGGTCTCAGCTCCGCCACGCAGCTCTGCTCCACCTCCAGCTCCTCCTCGGTGTTTATTGCACTTTCTGAAATGCAAGCCCAGAATCATCAGCACGGCAATGCTGGGCAGACGCTCGTGCTCCTCCAGCAACCAGGAGCCTTCAAGCATCAAATATTCCTCCTCCGTGGGCTAATGCCGCCTGCATGGGCATTACAGGCGCACGCCGAGGGCTCAGACACGGCAGGCAGGACACCCCATCCCATCCCCAGCTCCCAGCCTCAACCCCGCTCGTCTGCAAGGCAGGAATCCCCTCCACGAGGACGGATGAACACGTATTTATGGAGGTTTACGCCCAGCACCATGTGCGGGGCAGGGCACAAACCCACGTCCCCGGGTCGGATGCAGCACTCACCCGAAACCAGGGGCTCCTCGGAGGTGAAGGAGCTCTCCTTGGCACTCAGGCTGCTGACGGACGTCCGGTGGATGCACTGGTAGTCAGCGTCCGGCAGCGACAGTGACAGTGAAGCAGGTGACACCTTCCTCCACTTGCCCTCGGGGACGATCACCTCCTGCGGGAACAGCCCCGGGTGAGCCGTGCCGCCGGCAGCGGTTTCTCCCATGAAACCGGCAGCGCCGAGGACGCAGTGGGGCCAGATTCGGACTCGAACCTTACGGCATCTCCATCGAGCACCAGCACATCCAAAACACCATCCTGAGGGGGAGCTGGTCCTCCACGACAGCCCCGTGGGGACACAGGTTCCTACTGCCATAGGAAGGACCTGCCCACGCACCCCACGCCTGCCCCGAAGAGCGACTGCTGCCTCCCTCACCCCTTGGTTTGAAGCTCAGCGCGGTCACCCATCACGCTCCGAGCCCCTCACCCCGCCGTGGCTCAGCATCCCGGTCCCAGCGCGCTCCGGAAAGGCACCGAATCAAGCGGGGCGGCAGGCGGCACGGAGAGGGGTTCCCCCGCCAGAGAGTCCCCGGGACTGGAGCTGCTGAAGGGCTACATCCCTCGGAAGCACTGGGAGATGCTTCCAGCCTGGATCACTCCCAATTCACTCCTTGAAAAGCGCCTTCAACCTCCAGGATGCCACTAGCCCACGGGGGACATCCCTCTTGTCACCTCCTGGTCCTGTGTGCAGGGGGACACCCCATTTGTCACCTCCTGCACCCAGCCTGATGCACAGGGCCACCAGCCCATGGAGGACACCCTGTTCAGCGTCCCCGTACAGCCCGGCACGGCTGCAGCACCAACGGCTTCGTGACCAGGGACAGGCCACCCACATTTCATGGAGGACATGTCCCACCGGCTGGGGGGCACACCCCCCATGGGCGAGGCC